CCCCCCCCCCCCCCCCCCCCCCCCCCCCCAAGCTTCCAGAAGAGTCTATGTCACACACCAGAGTCCCAACGATTGCTTTCATAGCTGTTACTATATACTGTGGCACAACCACAAAGTCCTTGTTTTTAAGAGGAAATCCACTCTTAAAATAAGCAGGGAGAAGTAGCAGAGTAGTAGTGACGAGAGGATAGTAGTGGATCACAGTTAATGGAGGAGAAAGCAAGAGGGGAGCAGGGAGCAGGGTAAGGTGGGCAGGGATGGAGCACATGAACGGAGAGGAAATGGAGCAGATGTAGAGAAATCCGATCGAGTGTTCCCCCCTGATTCCTGCAGGGAGAGGGAGACACACAGACGGATGCGTGTGAAACTGGAACAAAAAATGCAGACGTCGGTCGTGGTTTATAGACGGCCTGCGGTATTGGGACAAGAAATTACATCGGGAACCCCCCCCCCCCCACACACACACACACACACACGCATACATGACGGACACAAACGGACACAGAAAAACGAGAAGCAATTGGTTGTTACGTGTGAGCGAACATGTCTGTCAGTATTTACAAGGCTGTGTGAAAAGTCTATTCCACGACACCATCCTGTCCTCTCCCCTCAGCGTGGGCCTCCGCATTACATAACTCTTTGTTTTCGTGTGTGTCGGGCCGGCTGCATGTGTGCGAGTTATTCATTGCTTCACTGCACACACTCGGGACGGCAGCCAATGTCGAAGCACCGCTTCCCCCCCCCTCCCCTTCTGTGTTTTATTACCAGAAAAAACTCGAATACCATTTTGGCTGCGTGCACACAATGTGGGATCAGCTGATGTTTGGGTTTGTTCTTGAGCAGTATGTGTAGTTTTTTTGCATCCTGTTTACATTCTAGTTCACCAGCTTATTCTATTATGTAAGGAAAAGTACTGAGGCGATTACCCAGTGTGCTTCGATGTCCCATGATGCATCTCACCCAGCAGCGGCTCTGTGACCCCGAGCTGATCATCCTGTTTGACTTAGTGGTGACCTCTGACCTTCCACTTCCACATTCAGCCACAGGATATTAGCCTGCTGATGACTTTACACTTACTAGCTTTGGTTTACTTTTTGGCATTGTTTACAAAGTGACATTCTTTGTTTATAGCGTGCAGGCTTGAATGTGGAGCATGTGTAATGTGAGAGGCATCGCTCGTGGTGATGAACCCACAGATAATCTGAAGCTCCCTTCGGTTTTACGGAGTTTTATAGTGAGTTTCAGCTCACGACGGCTCTCATACATGTAGGTTTTTGGCAGCAGCTGGTTACAGCAAAAACGGGTGGTGAACGTAGTGGAGCAGCTACAAGAAGCAGGTGTTTACCTCAGGAGTTGGCAGACACAAACAGAGCTGAAAGAGAGTGAATATTGAACTTCCGCTCGGTGGCTAGAAACACGACTCCAAATGAAAGATAAAGTTGCTTCGTAGGTGCTGGATGTGGAAATATGCAGCTGTTTGCTAATACGTTTGAATGTCAGTTTTCGTGTGTACGTGAGAGGAAGAAAAAATATCACACTCTGTTGCTACGGGTAACTAAAGCTGGTTGGACAAAGAGCACTTGGCTTCAGCAGCCGCATGAGCAGTTAACAGCTTTGGTTGATCATTTCAGGGGCCATAACCTGCCACAAACCATGAATAGCTGATGTTGATTGGGCTCGATAATACAGTGCTGTCCTGATGGAGACAATAGCCCACGATGATGCAAGCAGGCAGATCTAAGTCCATTATCTGGTACTTGACCTCTTCATCACTTGTAATCTGTGATGAGGCGGCATGACAGACCTTGAGTGTTGTGTGTCTTGGCATCCCTAAAGGCTGAAGGTTTATTACAGTTACCACCCTGAGATTATTACAGTGCTTTGGTTCCCCAAAGAGCAGCCTTGTGTGTGTGGGCTGACCACCGCGTAGAAGGAGAGACGGCATATAGCCTTTCTGAATTTAACATTATGGTCCTCATCCAGAAGTGACCATGGCTTTGAAAAGAAGCGGTGGAGGAAATGCTCAGCCGCAGCAGCTTTCAGGAAAAGACGTGACCTTTAGTGATGATAGTGTTTTTGTTTTGTTTTTACATACAGTATATGCTGGGGCAGAAACTAACAGTCATCTCTTGCTTGGTTGTTGTTTTGCTTTTAAAAATGTCAAATATAATGACAAATCAAGTTAAAACAGTAACGTTTCATTGCCTCATCAGTCATTAATTGTTTTGGCACCAGTGTGCGCTCAACAACTCTGCCTTTTCCTAATGCTCCTGTACCTCCCCTCATCCCTGCGTTTCTGCCCCCTTGTTACCTGTCCCCCACCACCCTCCCACCTCCACAGTGCCAGACTCTGCCAAGCAAGACCCCACCCCTCCTCCCCCCATCAGCCCCAGTGCCGTCCCATCTGTACCCCCAAGCAGTGGCAATGGCAAGCGCGCCCCCTCTGGAGGTCAGCCGCAGACAGCACAGCAGCCCCAGAATCTGCTCCAGCAGCGCTACCCGCCAAGAGAGGTGCCCCCGCGCTTCCGCCAGCAGGAGCACAAGCAGCTGTTGAAGAGGGGCCAGCCTCTGCCCTCCGGGACTCTGCCTCTCTCCACGACGGGACGTCCCACCACTACTGAACCTGCAGCAGCAGTAGCCATACACTCCTCTCTCTCCTGCTCCTCTTCCTCCACAGCCAGCCTGCCTACAGGTCAGCCGAGACACTCTGTTGGCGACACACTATCTCTTAGTCCTTTTTATTTAGCGTCTTTAAAGGGAAATGCTATTCATATGTATTGAATAATCTTTCAGTATTTTAGTATTTACTTTTAGTATTTAGCATTAGGTGTAGGAGAGCTGAAGGTTGTTGTGAAGTACTTTCATTATATTAGGTGACGCTACCTTTACTTGGAGTGGTGGTTGGAATTCAGTAGCAAACACACTGTGCGTTTGTATTAGTCCTGTTTGTTGTGTTAACTCACTCTACAGCTTAAATGAGCAACAACAGTCGCCCATAGGGTATATTTGTTCACACGATGTTGCCATTTTTATGTGCAACCCTTCCGGACATCTGTTTGACTTATAGCTGCTGTGCCCACGAGTGGTTGTGTTTTGGCTTAAATTGGCATTCCTGAATGACGGTGGCTATACGTCTACTTTTTGTATGGCACTGTGATTGTAACAGGGCAGTTTACCTGAGGAGCATTGTGAAGGCATCACAGGTGCTGCTGTTTATTTTCACTCTGCCTAGCTGGGAATTAGAAATGGGGATAAAAGGGGGACATGGGTAGAGGATGGAAAGTAAACACAGCTGGCTATCTCTGTGTGTGTGTGTGTGTGTGTGTGTGTGTGTGT